TTTAAACTGATGATCTACAATCCGGAAAAATCGATAATCCGGAATTGCCGAAGTCCCGACGAGTCCGGATTAAAGACTTTCGACTGCACATAACTCATGAAATTATACACTTTCATTATGAGATGTTATTGGATAACATGAAGAGTTTGTCATGTTTGTCTTAAAACAATTGATAATGTCTTCAGCGATATTGTCGAACTTTGTTTCATCTTCATCATTATTTTGATCCATAAATAAATAATCATTATCCGTTCCATCTTTTATCAAAGCCAAACATCCTTCTTGTAGCACGATTTTCACGAAATGATTGGCTTTGCATTTAAAACCAGCACTGTGTTTCTTTTCACGAGAACCACATTTACTACTAAAATTAGAACTAGATAAACTCAGCAATTTAAAACAACTTTTTAAACAGGGATAATCTTTGGAATATGGTAACAGGTACTTTGGCGACATTTTGGTAGGCGATAAAGGTTACTACCTAGGACTTTGGGAATAATGTGAGAAGTACTCAGTTCCGATTACGCATTATTTTGTGCGAGGAAAATGACAGATGAGATATGTCATGTGACATTTATGGACGAATCACAATTCTGTAATCGGAGAAGGGGGTAAATTTGTAAAAATATCTGTCGTACTTTATAGCATTAGCTTCATTCTATGTTCTGTGAAACAGTGTTGCTTAATATTTGGATCCCATGGCCCTATGTAAAGTAAATCCGAAATTTTTATTGCGTTTATGTGTAATCCAAAAGAATTGCTTGAATGGTGTATGAGTGTAGGATTAATTGCGGTAAGTATGAATGTCCAACATGTGGGAATGAAATGAAATTGTGTGAAAGGAAGGATATTACAGATAAGTTTGAATGCTGGTACAAGAAATCTGGTGAAAATGGACATTTTGTGAAACGTAATGTAAGGAAGGGTACGTGGTTTGCTGAAAGTCGTTTGAGTATTGGGTGAAATTTTATTAATTTCTTATTAGTGGGTGCATATAGACTGCCAGTTGACTACTGGAATTATTGAATCTATAAGAAAAGTTTATCCGCCATGCAATCAAGATTATGAAGATTAGGTAAGTTAGTATTTTTAATCATTTGAGGATATTATTTTTATGCATGTAAGGAATAAATAAATTAATATGGTATTATTGGGAAATTGTTATTAGCAATGAATTAGTTTAAAGTAATTAGGATTGTAAGCTAATTTTTATTAATTTAATGTATTTGCTTATTTATATTTTAAGTAGTGTTTAATTTAATTATATTTTAATTTAACGATCGTGATTTTGTGAGTTATATGTTTGTAGTATTTTGGAATACATTTGAGTAGAAGTAAATGTGGATGAAAAGAATTTAAATATTTGACCCTAAGTATTTGGAACCATTTTTAATGTTTGCATTATAAATTTGCAGGTGACGTTTATAATAGATAATTTGGATATTTTATTTATTTTATACGTGCAAATGTTCATCCTTGGAAAGGGTATGTACATTTTTGTGATCAGGTAATTTCATATATGTCCTTTTTACCGAATTTAAAGATTCACAAAAATTTCCTGCATTTTCATGAAATTTTTCTAATTTATGAGAAAAAAACAGTGTACTTGGATAAAGTCAAGAATGTGCGCAATGCCATTTTTGTGCAATTCTGGGATGTTTTTTTTTAAGTAAAAATAAGTCAACGTGTACGTGGTTTAATTATATTTTAATTAAATGATAGTTATTTTGTGAATTATATGTTTGTAGCAATTTGGAATATGTTTCAGCAGAAGTAAACGTGCATGGAAATAATTTAAATATTTGACACTAAGTATTTGCAACCATTTTTAATGTTTGCGTTATAAATTCGTTAGTGACCTTTATAATAGATAATTTAGAGGGAAAGGTCTTTGGATATTTTATTTATTTTATACGTGGAAATGTTCATCCTTGGAAAGGGTATAACGAACGGTATAAGCTAAAATTATCTAATTATCTATTTCAGTTAATGTTGATGATTGCGTTGTTCCTTAATTTTCGAATTGGATCCGGCTTATTATTTTTTTGCAGACTGTAAGAGCAATACTATAAAAAGTAAACTTGAACTTTCGATTATGTCAAATAGAATTTCCGAATCTGGAGCTCCCAAAGGATCGTACAAAACGAAAGTATGTTTCGACGTCCATCAAACAAAAAGTGGAATTGCAGCAAAAAATGGATAAAGACATGAAGAATGTGACAGAGAGGTTAGTGAAACGAAAAAATTTCGATTGACAAGTTAGTCGGTATTCCTCGGCACAGCGATTAACGGGACTTGAACAGCGGAACTTTGTAACTGAACAAAAATTATGTATGTCTGTTTATAGAATTAAAGAGAAAGTATTATCACATAAAACGAAGCAACTCAAACAACTTACATTGAAAGAAATGTTTAATAAAGTAAACAAATAAATATTATGCTTTTTTTTTTTTTTTTTTTTTGTAAATTTTGATACCCTTTAGATCATAATTGTTCTTTATTTCATAAATTAGGTTTCATATTTTTAATTTTAGAATTTCTGCATGCTATCTTACGCGATTTAAACTGATGATCTATAATCCGGAATCACCGAAGTAGTGTTTTTGAATTTAATTATATTTTAATGAAATGATAGTTATTTTGTGAATTTTATGTTTGTAGGAATTTGGTATACGTTTAAGTTGAAATAAACGTGCATGGAAATAATTTAAATATTTGATACTAAGTATTTGTAGAGGTAAAAGTTTTTGGATATTTTATTTATTTTATATGTGGAAATGTTCATATTTGTAAAGGGTAAATACTTTTTCGCGATCAGGTAATTTCATATATGTTCTTTTTACCGGGTTTAAATGATTGAGAAATTGTCATGTATGTTTCTGAAATTTTTCTAATTTATGAGGAAAAAGCAGTGTACATGGATATAGTGAAGAGTGTGCGCAATGCCATTTTGTGTGCAATTCTGGGATTTTTTTTAAGTAAAAATAAGTCGCTGTGTACATGGTTTTATGTGTATGTATTATTTTGAAAAAACGCCTAAGGAGTATGGTATTGTGCACTTTTTCCCAATTTTGCAGTGAATATTTGTCATGATTAAGCAGTTTTTGTTTGATAAAATTTCTAGCATAAGTGTAATGCGGCTAGTAGATTGTTGGAAGAAGTTCAGTAGATAAAAAGAAAGAAACATGTCTTTACTTCGTGAAGACAAAATGGCGGCGGGGAAAAAAAATAGAGGGTTGCTGTAGGAGAGTTGGTTGCCAAATTTTCGCCAAAAAATCACCAAGTTACCATAATGTAAAGATCAACCAAGAAAGGTTCTGAAATATAATCAGGTAATCAATCCAAATTCAAATGAAAGCATATCATGAAAAATTTATCAAACTAAAGTCATGAGTTCAAAGCTATCTGATAAATATAAGGTCACAAAACACCATAGACTAAAAACTGAAAACTAATGTTTATTCCAAAGCAGTATTGTGGCAACTTGCCTACTACAACTCAGCGCTGCTAGTCTGATAACCCATAGCAACCAAAAACAAAATAATATTTATTGTATTGTTAGTATTTTTAACGATATGTCTCAGATTCTTCATAAACAGAAAATAATAATTGGGTGCCCCTTGTTTTTCGGCAATTCTTTTTTGACGCCAAGATCGGTACCAGGAAGACACAATTTCAAGATGGCCTCTAGAAAAAACCAAAATAAAAAGACAAAGAATTGCATAAACTCTGTGTCCATGTACACATCGATCTATTTTCACTTTAAAAAAAATATCCCAGAATTGCACAAACTAAGCATTGCGCACTGTTTAAATTTGTTCATGTACACGTCAATCTATTTTTATTTTAAAAAAATAAGGAGGCTAAAGCAAAGTTACACTATCATGGTAACCAGAAATAAGATTTAATCGCCAAAATTTTACAAAAAATTGTCGCGAATCGAAGGGGAACCCAACTCTACACTAGAGCCATGTATTTGTCCGTCGCCAGTGGATTCAAAATGATTTCACGAGCTGATTGCAGTAACTCTGATTCTAATGCGGCAATCACTGTACAAAATTGAGTTTTGTTGGCAGTAATGTGATTCAATTTAAACTGCGCATCCAATTGAATTAGCCATAATGATGGGTCTCCGCGACAAAAAGGCGGTGGCTTAACTGCCACTCGCACCAATTGTGAAGCAGCATCTTTGTTGCTCGGTGGTTGCGTGCTGGTTATCACTACTCCAAAAACGTGTGTTTTGTTAGTTTATGTATGCTGAAAAGTGGAACTTCACTTTATCACTATACCACATAGCAACCTACACTGGAAGCAACATATACAAAAACTCAGCACCATGCTGAACTGTGCATACAGGTGGGAGAAGTCACTTCCAGCTCCTCTTGTAATATACTTTAATTTCTCAAACATAAAAGAAAGGTATATGATGTAAAAATTTGGTTTCATTTCCTCTTGCTATAAGATTTTTATCACACTTTTTCTAGAACCACTTTTCAGTAAAATGCCCTGTATTATGTCCCTCAGAAATCATGACTTAAATTTGGCAACAGTATGTTACCTGAGATATATTTTCATTTAATTTTATTGCCAGACTCCACTTTCACCTACGACTCTTCTCTCTTACATACCAAACGTCATTTTTCACTGAACAAATGCTAACAATACAGCGTGCATGAAATATTCCAGTCCTTCAATAGTCAATCAACATGCAAAATTGGCACATGATTTCACAGTATGTTTGTAGTTAATAAATTATATTAGAAGACTAATATTTTTCTTCACTCAAAACTTAAACTTAAACTTTCTTCACTTAAAACTGTAAGCTCGTGAGATAAATATATCATAAAAAATTTCAATTTTTTTTCCGTTTAATTTGATAATATAAGTTTTCTGTTATTGCATTATACTAAATTAAATGTTGTGTATTTCTCATGTTCAGCATACACAGCTTTGGGAACTTTTAGCTATTTATCAAAAAGACTATTAACTCTGTGACTTACTCAATATATCATCTGTTATTAAAATTTCCTTATTATCGGATCTCATCAGAAAAATTGCACATAAGAACAGTAGCATCAAAATGCTACAGAACCTTTGAAAAAAATACCTGCGCCTATCTACCCTTGGAAACATATCACCGTCAACAAAAACTTTCTGTAGCAATCTGTAGCAATCTTGCTTTTGAGCAAGAAGAAAGGAGGTGAGGACTTTGGCGAACGCCGTTTCCTCCAGTCCGTTAGGGAAAAACTTTCTGAACACGCGATATGCTAACCGCAAATTTAAATTTGAAGAAAAGTGAAGTGGTACGAGTTTATAAAGAAACGATTATAAATAATTCTTCTAATTTTTTTAAGCTTTTAATTATAGAAGAACAGAGAAACTTCTTAAATACACTTGACAGTAGTTCTGAAGTGCATTCTTAAACAAAGTGTTATTCATACAGTTTTAATTTTATCTAAATTCAGCATTTTAAAAGCGATATTTTGGCAACAGGTATATCGATCGGCTGTCTGCTCTGCTTATGAGCAACGACGTGATTATCGATGGCCTTGCGTAATTTTGTAAATAGTGTGTTTCGTGAAGGAAATGCTTGATAAGGGAAGTAGTGAGCCAAAATGAGTGTTAGAACAGCTGAAATGAACGGGTGTGTAGAATTAAAAATGTCTCGTGCATCAGAAGACTCTGGAAAACGAAAAATCATTCGAGTCTGGTGTGATGGATGGTAATAATAATTGTTAAAACCTTTTAAAACTCGCTGATGCTTAACACTTTATGAACTGTTAGTTACTGATATTTCTAGCTGTATATGCGCATTTTCTTACCTTGTGTGTGTTTTGTCTTAATGTCTAGGAAAATTTATAAACTCATGATATATATCTGTGGTCAAATAGTAAATCTAAGTAATTTCTTAAATCCTTAGGTTTCCATAAAATTTTTTTAAAAAAATCTGGGATATTTCCATATTTTTACTTTGAAAAACCTTGGTGAAAAGGAAAAGTAGCTTACTGTTAAGAGGTCAAGGAAAGGATCCGACCTGAAAGTAGAATCAGTTAATTGATTAAAACTCAAATGAAAGCGTATTGTCGAAACGAAAATGTGTAACTAACTACAAATGTGTTGTAAACCGAACTTTAAATAAATAATGGCATAAAAATTAACTAGTGTAAATTTCGCTTTAAAAGAGCGTTACAGATGACAAAATTACTGAATTTGCTATTTAAAAAAATACAGTGTTACGTTTATATTTTAAATTCATGAAAATGTCTATAAGATTTATGAACTTGTTTCGGAAGATATTTTTTCCTGCTGATATTTGGATGTATCAAGAAAAAAAAAAAAAATTCCTTTAAAATATGGTTGTTTAGGAAGGATAAAAGTTTTCACCATCTTAACTTTCTCTTTCTTCAACTCCCCAAATTTTGTTCACAGTACAAGAATGCATCCAACAACTTCTGCATGCTTGATAATTCCAAACAAATACTGGCTAGGCATTTTAATTTTCTCAGTTATCTATAGCATGCTTTGAGAAACATTTCATAGTGTTTTGCAAAACTATTTTGATCTTTCACTTTATTCCTTACTTCTATAATGTTTATTCATACTTGCAAACCCTTTGGCTAAATACTCTGCATTCATAGTAAAATTTGATGAAACTGTTTTCATGAATATGTTATTTTAGAGTGTTTATTTCAAAATCATAGGTTCTTTTATCTTCTGATTAATCCAGTTGATAGGCAATAGAATTGTACATTGATAATAGCCAACTGGCAGCTTTTTCGATATTATAATGGCAATGTTTTTAGGAAATATACTAACCTTGCACTTACTGGTAATTTGAGTAGTTCAAAGATGCAATAGTAGTTTGAAGGATTTAAAGATGAAATATGCTTGGCTCTGAATAAACATGTTTCAGTGTTAGTATTTTAATTATCAGTCTGCTGCTCCAAAAAAAATTGTCATGATGATTCAAAGCTGGTAGATTATATAGAGAAAGTAAATATATATTGAATAGTATATACTTATTGAATACTATATCAGGATGTATTTTTTAATGATGTGTAAAAAATATTGGTTGATCTTTACATTATGGTAACCTGGCGTTTTTTTGGCGACCAACTCTCCTATAGCAACCCTCTATTTTTTTTTTCCCGCCGCCATTTTGTCTTCACGAAGTAAAGACGTGTTTCTTTTCTTTTTATCTACTGAACACTTCTTCCAACAATCTACTAGCCAAATTACACTTATGCTAGAAATTTTATCTAACAAAACTGCTTAATCATGACAAATATTCACTGCAAAATTGGGGAAAAGTGCACAATACCATACTCCTTACGCATTTTTCAAAATAACACATACACATAAACCATGTACAAACGCCGACTTATTTTTTACTTAAAAAACATCCCAGAATTGCACAAAAATGGCATTGCACACACTCTTCACTATATCCATGTACACTGCTTTTTTCTCATAAATTAGAAAAATTTCACGAAAATAATGACATGACAATTTTCTCTCAATCTTTAAACCCGGTAAAAAGAACATATATGAAATTACCTGATTGCGAAAAAGTATTTACCCTTTCCAAATATGAACATTTCCACATATAAATAAATATAATATACAAAAAACTTTTACCTCTAAATCATCTATTATATTATAAACGTCACCAACGAATTCATAACGCAACCATTACAAATACTTAGTGTCAGATATTTAAATTATTTCCATGCACGTTTACTTCAACTGAAATGTATACCAAATTCCTACAAACATAAAATTCAACAAAATAACTATCATTTAATTAAAATATAATTAAATTCAAAAAACACTACTTAAAATATAAATGAAGCACATACATTAAATTAATAAAAATTACCTTACAATCCTAATTACTTTAAACTAAATCATTGCTAATAACAATTTTCCCTAATAATACCAAATTCCTTTACTTCCACCTTACATTTAGAACAATGCATAAAAATAATCCTCAAATAATTAAAAATACTAACTTACCTAATCTTCTTCAGAATCTTGATTACGTGTTCGATAAACTTTTCTTTAGTTACGGCCATCGGATCCAAAAATTCACGAACACTTTCACACAACACAGAATAAACCAAATACAAAATTTCCAGATTTTTTCCCGATTTCCCCCCTTTTCCGATTAAAGAACCATAATTCGTCCATTAATATCACATGACAAATCCCATGATCTCTCATTTCCCTCACACAAAATAATGCGTAATCAGAACTGAGTACTGCTCACATTATTACCAAAGTCCCAGGTAGTAACCTTTATCGCCTCCAAAATGTCGCCAAACTACCAGTTACCATATTGTAAAGATCAACCAAAATATTCTGTGTGGACCGAAATAAATATAAAATTGGCCTTCATGTATGCAAATGTTGGATATAATTTGCATACGCGAGAATGCATGCCATCAATGGATCCGGCAAGAAAATTTGGACTTGGCATCATTCGAGGAATTTAGGTATTTACTATTAGCAATGCCAATCAACATTTGATCACTTTCAAAACTGTTTCCTTTGCAAGCAGTGATTATGGCTAGGCCTGCTGTTTTGTACAAATACGAGTGATCATGTGCAGGTAGCAGGAGGGGCACAAAGCTAGTTATTCACTTGTTTTTTTCATTTGGTTTATGCTTATGTCAGCTGTAATTACTTGTAGCTTTTATCATTTTTAACCTTTTGATTGTCATGCCCAAAATAATCTCCTGCACAGCACTGGCATCGTATTGTTATACCTGAATATATATCGTGAGAAGTTTATTTCGGCTTCAGTTCAACAGATGGCAGCATTTTACTGAAGGTTTCAAAGGATAGAGGTTAAAGTTCAAAGTGTGCGGCATTTTTTTGATTTTTTGACTGTGAGGCAAACATTTCATTTTTGAAATAAAAGAAAAATTGACAATTTATGCACCCAAATCATCAAAATAACTTGACAGTTAAAAGTTTAAACTAATTTCATTGATATAATTGCTTGTTTAAATTTGTGTGAGTTGTTTTAATTTATTAAATGTGGTTAATTTGTAAAAAAGAACAAAAATTTCAAGATAAGTGTAATATAGAATTTCAGACTTTATGGACTAGGAAATATAACATGATTAATAAAGGCAAGGTTAGAGTAGATTTAAGGGTGCCCCTTGGATTATCGCTAAGTTGTTGTTTCATTTATCGCCAAGTTGTTGTTTCATTTATGGTAACATGAGTTGATGAATGTTATGGAAGCCTATTGTGACGTAATTGTTGTGTGATTGCGGTCAATTTGAATGATGGAGAAAGATTTGGAAAGTGTGTGTCGGATTTTGGATAAGAAGCACATTGTTATTTCGTGGTTATTATTACATAGTAAAATGGCTAAATGTGGTAAGATAAATTTGAATTTTCTGTATGATTTGGAACGAAAAGGAAAAATGCATTAATTGACTGTTCTGTAAATGAAGGTTTACTTAGTAGCCATTATTAAGTGTCTTGTTTGTAAGAAGGAAATGCATATGGTCAAATGTCAGATGATACCGGCATTGTGGAGGATATTGTTTACTCTTATTTTTGTGAATTTATGTGGCGATGTAAGTGTACAGATTCTGGTTGATCTTTACAATATGGTAACTGGTAGTTTGGCGACATTTTTGGAGGCGATAAACTACCTGGGACTTTGGTAATAATGTGAGCAGTACTCAGTTCCGATTACGCATTATTTTGTGTGAGGGAAATGAGAGATCATGGGATATGTCATGTGATATTAATGGACGAATTACGGTTCTTTAATCGGAAAAGGGGGGAAATGGGGAAAAAATCTGGAAATTTTTGTATTTGGCTTTATTCTGTGTTGTGTGAAAGAGTGTTCGTTAATTTTTGGATCCCATGGCCGTAACTAAAATGAATTCGAAATGGGTATTTATGTATGTATTAATTTAATGTATGTGCTTTTTACCGGGTTTAAAGATTGAGAAAATTGTCATGTATTTTCGTGAAATTTTTCTAATTTATGAGAAAAAAGCAGTGTACATGGATATAGTGAAGAGTGTGCGCATGCCATTTTTGTGCAATTCTGAGATGTTTTTTTAAGTAAAAATAAGTCCACGTGTACATAGTTTATGTGTATGTGTTATTTTGAAAAAAGCGTAAGGAGTATAGTATTGTGCACTTTTTCCCAAGTTCGCAGTGAATATTTGTCATTATTAAGCAGTTTTGTTAGATAAAATTTTTAGCATAAGTGTAATTCGGCTAGTAGATTGTTGGAAGAAGTGTTCAGTAGATAAAAAGAAAAGAAACATGTCTTTACTTCGTGAAGACAAAATGGCGGCGGGAAAAAAAAATAGAGGGTTGCTGTAGGAGAGTTCATCGCCAAAAAAACGCCAAGTTACCATAATGTAAAGATCAACCCAGATTCTAGTTCAGATGATTTTAAGAAGTTTTTGGGTGCTGTTAAGGAATTTTACTTGACTGGAGACACATAAATTCATAAATAAGGTAAGTGGATATTTCCTTTGAGTAGTGCTAAGATGGGTAAAAATATATGTATGGGTACCCTTTGCCAATAAGTGGCAATTTTTGGCGGTACATGGACACCGAGTTTGTGCTATTCTTTGACTTGTTATTTTGGCTTTCTACAAACCCAAAATAACTAGGTCAAACAGTTGCACAAACTTGGTATCCATGTACACAATCAACCTATTTTCACTTAAAATAATCAGA